TTTAATATTTTAATTATTTATAATAAAAATGTAAAATTATCATTTTGCCATTTTTAAAAATAGTTATAATATGGTCAAAATATTTTTTCTTCGTCAACTAATAGAAAAGTTGATAGATTCTATCGATTTGGACTCCAGCTGCGAATTTATCAAAGGTTAGGAACTTTTGGTGATACAAAGTGAAGGTTGAAGTAAAATTTGCAACAAATGTAAAAGTTTGAGACTGTGATTGCAATTTTCCGTATCCTTAATTTCTTATAGCGTTTCTCTTCACCTTCTTTGATCTTTCCTTAATTGCAGTCTTTATCTGCAAACATAAAACAAAACACGCAACCACGCACGCGGTCACTCGGCACAGACATGCTTATATAAAGTTAAAACATTTCATCCATATCCCATCTTCTAAACATTTATTTATAATTTCCCTTTATTCTTATATGACTGTGCCTGGAGAAAAACAAGGTGGTGGAGACTATGAAGAGGCGGCTTCAGCCACCGGATGTGGCTGTTTTAGGTTATTCTGCGGTGGATGGAAAAAGAGCAGCCAAGGAGAAGGTCATTCTTTGTTACAGGGGAGACAAGTCTACGAGGAAACATGGGTGGTTACAGAATTTAAGAAATTGAAGGAGTTTTCAGAGTTAGTGGCAGGGCCTAAATGGAAGAACATGATAAGGAAAATTGGAAAGTTTTGTAATCCTAAGAGAAAATCAAAGGTGACGACGCAGCTTCAGTATTCTCCTGGAAGTTATGCCCTCAATTTTGATTGTGGTGGTGAGGATGAAGAAGAAGATAATCTGTTGCACAGTTTTTCATCAAGGTTTGCATCTCATGATATCGGCTATCGACAAAGTAGAGATGGGTTGTGATTATTTTAAAAGAAATATATTTAATTGGTGTAATTGGTAATTGATCAAATAATTATTTTTTCTTGTAAAATAAAAATTAATTATGATTACAAATATTGTTCATGTATCTAGGGTCAAATGTTTCTAGGAGTAACGGTTAGACCTTTCCGATCTATAGCAATTTTATTCAAAAGTACACCCAATCTAAGCAATGCGTATACAAATGTTAAGAAACTTCTTCATAGAAGTTGACCATTAGAACCTTCCTCGAAAATTTTGCCAAATTCTTAGACATAATGTCATATGACATTTTATTATTGAACTGTTTAAAAAAAAAAATCAATTTCCACATTCAATCATACATTGCCAACAAATCATCTGTCAAGGAATTTGGCAACGGTATTTGATAAAATGGCTTAACTCTATCAATTATTAGCACCAGATACAAATAGCAAGACATGCGCAGCTAGGGTCAATGATGATTGTGCAACTTAGCCCCTGTTCAATTTTGCTAAAAATCAGATTTTTATTATATTTCGATTAAATCAATTAAAATGTATTTTTAAATTTAATTATTGATTTTAACTTAAATTTTCATCAACCTTTTTAGCTAAACTTAACAGGGGCTAAAGTGAGAGCACGCAATTTAAATCGGTTGAATATAACGGATTGATCGACCCATTACTTCTACCATTTCTTCATTGTATTTGTGTATGTACAATAACGTGGAGATGCAAGCGTTCACAGCCAATCTAGAGTCCTTAATATAGACAAACATACTACAAATGCAAATATATGGTACCAACAGAAATTTCCAAATGGGAATCTTCCCATTTGTACACCTATTTATCCGTCTAAATCCCATGACACCAAGTGATCAACCACGTGTTGATACTTGCTTAGCCTTGCCAGCAGAAAAGTACCTTAAAACAGCCACTGCAACCTTCCATTTCAGCCCCCACCTTCAAAAGCCATGCTGGCCACGGCCACTGGGTATGAACATAGATGACAAAGCATCGCTTTTCTTCAATCCGAATTTTTTGCTCACATGACATGCTCATTTCTAGCTGTCACCTGCACTGCTATTTTATCCCAAAATGGAGTAGGCAAACGGATCTCAAAATATCATATTTAGAGAAACACAAACCGAAACCTACCTCTTTCGTTTGCTTTTCTGAGAGGACGAGGATGAAGGATTACTATGCCAATTCCTTTTCCGTTGGTTGATGAACCAATTGTTAATCTGTTTTAGTTGCAAGCCTGTTTCCTGCACCAGTCTTGCTTTATCTTCCTCCTAATATAACATTATACAATATAGCTGTTAGATATATATGTTCCCGTTTAGTACACAAGTGCCTCTTGAGGTTTTCTGGATCAGCGTGTTCCTATAACGTTAAAGGAGATTTTGTAAGATCATTAACAGGACCTATGCTATTACATGGAACCTCGTGTCAGGCTGATAAGTAAGTATTTATGTTCATATAAAGGGAAAAAGTACACTTTAAACACCATTTTTGCAATGAAAAAGAACCCTTATACCCTAAATAGCAGTCTGAAGGTCAATATTTCAACATTATGTTGAAAGGGTTAACATGCTCCAATATTATATAGCAGCAGCAGAAGTATGAAATCATGCTTACTGTTGGATAGGGCCACTTGGAATGTGATTGCCACCAAGATTTTAAGACAGATGTGGTGTCTCCAGGCAGTTTTCCGGCTCTTCTTTTACGTAAAATTTCATCTCTTATGTCCACAAGCTTCTCCTTGTAACCCTTGGAAAGAGAGAACAGAATAAATTAGTTTAATTCCAGTGATCATTAAAGCATCACCCAAGAAGTGATGCTTTCTTACCTGTTTAAGCTCACTTTTCAATTCTTGTCTCACACGCTCCATTAAGGACCTCTCACTTTCAGTGGGTACTAGAGGACCAAATCCCATGCTTTCTTGTCCTTCCAGACTTTCATCAAACAAGTTAGGTTCTCCATCTGCATGATCATCGTCATCATCAGACATGGTTGCTCCTGTACCTTCAACTGGTGCTACCCCTGTCAAGCAGTAGTAGAAAATAATACAAATGAGGGAATGAGATAAGAAATCGGTCAACATTTAGGTGAAGTAACATTGAACTAGAAAATCTCCGCGAAAGTTGACCATCTGAGGACAAAAAATAAACTTAATGGAAGGGCAACATGGAAATCCTTTTCTCCCCATTTAGAAAAGCAATGCGAGTTTTCCAGCAGACAAAAGTCACATAAGTGGAAACGATACGATCTGTTGCCTGAAACTCATCCTATACAGAAAGGAAAATGCAATAGATTTTGGAAAAAAAAATGGGTATCAAATGCTTTCTGTGGTGCATGAATTTATGACTGCCTGTCCCTCGAACTGGAAATTTAATCTAAACCATAAGATCATAACATAAATACAATGTTAAGAAAAATCAATAAACTGGATATGTTAAAAAACTCAAGAGAAATAGGCAAAACACTTCGATCAGAATCTTGTTAAAAAATCGAGTATGCTTTCAAACATGAAATAACCTACTCGAGTGAACATCAATCCTCAAGATAAAAAAAGGGGGAAGAAATTATTGATTAACTTCAAGATCACCAAACAGAGTAAAAACTAATATTAATTTGAAATATGCACAGAAAGATGGCACATAAATAATATGGATTTCTAGGGATGATAATCGATGTGAATTCTAGAAACGCTTGTACTTTGAAGTTACAAAAGCCAGGATCGCAGGAAGTAAATGTACAGTTTATAGACAAATAGTCTCAAGTAATTAGCAATGCCTCGAAGGGTTAAAAATCTACAAGTGCAAATTCTAGATGGGAAATTTGAAAAAGTTACAAAATTTACACCCGTCATCCGAGCAACTCAATGGAGTCATATTTACAATATGAAATAAAAACAATAAGAATGAAATAAGATAATCACCTGTTAAGCTTTGCAATGATTGCTCGAGCTCCCAACAAGCCATGACTGCTTCCATTGCATGAACCCGCACATGTTGTTGGAGTTGTTCTTTGAAGGAAGAGAGCAACAGAACATAATGTGTCTACATCAGAAGGAAAAAACGAAAGAAGAAAGAAGAAAAATGAAAGATTCAGATTAAAAATTTGAAGACATAAATTTAGCGACGTACATATTATTACATATATATAAAAACAAGACCTACAGCTGATTTACAGTTAACAAAAGGAAAACTTTTATTAACAGAAATAGTATATACAGAATATATAAGTGGAAAAATGGAAGGATTAAGTGAAACGTGATGATCACACTACAAAAATGTACAGAGAGTTTTGATTGCAGATTTCCTGGAGCTCTAAGAACTGTCTTCTGTAACCACTAACTCTGACCAACAGAAATATGTAACATACAAGTCTGGATTACTACTCCATAGGAAAAATTAAATATTTCAGTACTTCATCAATGAAGTTCCTTGACTTATCGACAGAGGATTATATAACTTAGCCCCTATTTGATGTAGCTCAAAATAAGATTTTTAGTAGATTTTGATAAACAATTGATGAAATGTGTGGATGAAAAGCTGTGGATTCCATGAAATATATGGTTAAAATTAATGGTTGAATTTGACTTAGATTTTTATCAATTTTTAAGCTAAACCAAACAGGGGCTAAAGTATGTTCCTAATATGATGACATTATGGCTCAATGATGCATGATGGATCGTACCAACACATAAAAAAGGGGTCTACTTATGGAGAAATATGTGTTTATAGAGCATGCTCTACCAGCATCATTATTAACACATTAACCAGATTTCAGATGATATAAAATGATTGTACTACGTGTACATAATAGTTTACATACATATGATATGGTGAGATATGATTGAGCAAAATTTCTTAAACCAAAAAAAAAAAAAAAGCCTCTACCCTTTTTTCGACAATCATCTGTATGTAAATCATTATGTACAAGTAGCATTATTCGATATAAAGTAAGTCTTTCAAACTAAAAATACAGATAGCAGCTATTTCTAAACATTAATATTCAGGGAGTTCTATTTCAGTTAAAAATACTACTCATGTACGAGGGCAGAAGTCTACTTGATGTATAATCTGAAAAGTTAAAGGACAAATCCATAAGTAACTTTCTCTTGTTGATACAAGTCTCTAAAATAATTTAATGTTAAACTAATTAGAGGTTTTAGCAAAAATCATAGTGCCCCTCTCTGCCGTGAATGTATTTCAAATATAGAACACAGACCCTTCCAAGTACTAAGTCCTGCTTTGGAGATATTTTAAGCTTGTCTATGTCTATAGCAAAAGAACTTCGAGAAGCACAAGAAGCCAAGTAACAAGTGGAGCAATACTGCATCAAGAAAGAGATTCTCCAAAGCACTAAAAATTAGAGTTTCAATTTAGTGTACTGAGAACAGCATTATTCCTCTCTTGATGCGACATTGCTACTCATATTACAGGATTAAACTCCAAAAGTTCCTCAAAAATCTGAACTTGTACCAAATTCTTCAATCACAGGTCAAGAACAAGACAATATGCTAACTTATATTGAAGATTCTCAAAATTTTGTCCTCCATCACAATTTGTGGAACCTATCTCCCTCATCCTCCTCTCTCCCAAAGACAAGAAAAGTCATACACGTTTATAGATATGACCGAATCAACAATAACAGTCAATTGGCCACCAAATATATGCTATTTACTTTAATATAGTTAGTCAGAAACAAACTTGATACTTCAGAACAATATTCTACAACATAATTTACTAGTTCGTGACAAAGGAAACTAGCTACATTAGTTGCTAGAAACGTTAATATAGTACAAAGACAGAATCCATACAGAAAAACATAAAGGAAGAACCTGCAATATAGAGATAGAATTACAAACCAATTGCACATATAACAAGTTATCTGGTTTTCACTAATTACATGAACCTAAATTGACTAAGAATATTTAAATTTAGATTCCACCAGTGCCGATTATGTGGTTCAAGAATCAATATTTACACTCGCACTTACCTGTACCATAAC